ATGCAATTATATATCTACCCCTAACATACAATTCCAATTAACACGGGGAAAAGCAAACCCTAACAAATACCAAGGACCTCTCTCGAGTAGCAATGGCTTCCCTAACCCACAATCAAGCCTATTCTCATGGTATCATGCAAATTATAGACATTAAACACTTTACTTCACTTCCCAATTATCAATTCAACTACTCTCGTGATGAATCTCAAACCCTAAATTGATTTACTCAATTCCGTTAAAACCCAACTCTCGTTGTGATTGAAACTATGGAATAATAACATACTAATTATCCCTAATCTAGTATTGGCATAATTACAATCAATTTAGCATAAAGAATCAATTCATGCATCAATCACAATTGCGCTACCCAAGATCTTGGAATAAGAAAACTACTCACACATATTAAAAGAAGCAATAACAATAATAATAGAGGAAAACATAATTGAGAACAAAAATAACTGAAAGAGAAAGGAATAGAGATTAATACCAATGATGCTTCAATTGAGAATACACAAATTTTTAATCAACAATACCAAAATCTAACCTAGGAATTAAATTCCTAAAAAGTATTAAAATTAGGGTTTTAGAGAGAGAAATAAAACTTGAGGAGATAATAATATGTTTCCTAACGATAAATACAATGGGTATTTATACCCTTAATGAAGTAAAAATAAGAAAATAATAAAACGGCAAATCGCATCACTATGCCCGGTCTGACCGGGCTTGACTTGTCCGATAGGGCATGTGGTATCAAATACAGCGCTGCTTCTTCCTTGTTATTCGCTGACAGCCTTGCTTATGATTTCGTAGCTTTAAACATCTCAGCCACTACGCGCCCGGTCCAACTTGGCATGGGCGCTTGGGATATAACCATAAATCAGCTTCTTTGCTTCAATATTAGCATCAACAATGAAGTCCTTCTGTGTACGGTCTGACCGGGCTTGCAATGCCCGACCGGGCACAGTATAAAAACTGCTCCTTGCTTGCAAATTTTTCTAAGACTTGGTTCTTGTTTAGCTCGACTTTACATCCTTGTCCACTAACATCTCCTAAACGTGTCTGAATCATCCGAGAAGCTCCAAGTTCCTATAAAACTTATAAAAGTATACCGAACACACTAGAGAAGAGAATGTTAGCGGAAAATGGCTCTAAAGAGCCTAAAACCATACAAGAATGTTATGAAAAGTTGGAATAAATCTATGTATAAAACATGTATATCAAATTCCCCCAAGCTAAACTCTTGCTTGTCCTCAAGAAAGAAAATAAAAAATAATCAACAACCAAACAACATACTTCACCCCATAATGCAAATTCAAAACACGGATTCAAAAACGAAATCGAACAAGCATGCATCTTAGCCAACCAATCAAATCACTCAAACCGTCGATCAACCTAATTAATCGTCAAACGAGACCAACCATGTATAATTCAAGAATCGATGACTAGAATATCTCACATCGGTTGTCAATCAACACACTTTTTATGTGGCGAGCTAAAAATGAACTCGATCTCTCACCATCCCCACCAATAATGCAATTCCCCCCATCTCACAACACTCGCATGTTTAGAGGGCTATAATATCGCTCAACCTAGTCAATGTCGACTCAAAATGCATCATATACTCCAGCATTTTGACAAAAGACTCGTTTCACATGAACACAACCCTATGCTCGAAAATCGGAAGGACTTTTTGAAGCTTGTAACGTAGGCCGGGAATAAGAATGGGTAATAAATAATTTGGGAAATGTGGGCTGTATTAGTCTAATCGGGGAGCTATCCAATGCAATGAATCACATGTCGATTCACCATTTTTCAATCAACAAAACACAAACCTTACTACATTAAAAGCACCCATTACTTCTTCATATTTCTTTCTAACTTCAAGCTTCCTTTTATTCTATTTTTTTCTTTTCATCAACATTTTTTCTCTTTTTCTTTCTTTTTTTCATCTATTTTTTTCTTTTCTCGAGAACAAAGACATTTTCTTTCATTTTAAGTACAAGATTTTCTTTCCTTGTTCTTCGATTTATTCTCTTTTTTTTTTTTCCTTTAGAGATTCTACAAACCTTCATGCTAGTTTTCCTTCTTTTCTCTCTGTTTTTTTTCATATATTTCTCATCAATTGCAGCTTGAAATAAAATCACACAAAGTACCGCATAGTATAGCTCCCCCAAGCTAGACTTGGGAAAAGTAACCAAATTGGGGCTAAGGGGTAATTTTTGTGGAGTTCATGAAAAATATAGTCAAGTTACAACATGGGTGAGCAAGAAGGGAACATATGTTCTAAATTAGTCTGGAGGTCACCTAATGAACATGGCCTTCGTCATTTCAACATGCACGTGCAATGCATTACGACATACTACTAAGAGTCTAGAATCAAAACTAAGATCAATTCTACACCAGGAACTAAACACACACATGAATGAATATATAAGGCTCAAGCCTCACGGTTAACACAGTCAAGCTCCTAAATCATACATGGTTAAATAGCTTTGACTCCTACTAGGGATCAACAAATTCAAGGTCAAATCATGATCTTTTAGTCCACAATGCAATTCTTTCAATCGAAATTGAATCAAAACCTTTTTATCATTAATGATATGGGCACAGGGAAGTAGTTCGATGGCTATTCACTATCATGATTCTGGTATTTTTCATTTTTCAATTTTTTCAAAATATTTTTTTTTTATATATATACTAACAAAGCAATTAAAACTAACTAAAAAAAGCAATAAACTAAGCTACTACGCACAAACTTCCCCCAATCTACACTCGGCAATTTCCTCATTGCCACAAGTGGGAAGTAGGAAATACTTTAGTCCTCAAGCGAACTCATCATCAGCACTATCATCATCATCATCACCTCCATCGTCACCATCATCATCAACACCACCAGCCGCCCCACTAGTACCTGTAATGTCAGTCATATCGGGGAAAGTATACCACGAGGGGTGCTGAGCATCCCTCGGGATATGACCCTGCCTGCAAAAGAAATCATATACAGGATACATAGAATGACGTAGGTCAGTCTCTAGGTTCTGGACTCGGGTAGCTAGGATCTGCTGGTCTAACCTAATCTCCTGCTGGCCTAACCTAAGCTCCTATATTCTGGCCATGATAGACCCACGGTCGGTAGGGATATGGGGAGCGGTGGAGGATGAGGATGCGCCGCCCTGCTCTCTCCTGTGATAGGTCCTAGTAGGTGCAATAGGAGGAGGTGGGCCATCATGGGCCTCGAGTAGGTAGGAGGGCTGGTAGGGCTAGATCCTAGTTAGCTCGGGGGCGAGTAAGGTAATGAATCTCCTAGTGCTCCTGTCTAGTAGCCAGCTATAACTACCGTACTCCATCGACAACCAGCTGGTGGTGGTGAGGTAGGGCTGGTCCAAGGTAATGGGACCTTGCATAGGGCAATTTTGGGCTTCTACAAAGCCCTCCTTAACCGCTAGGTGAGTCACTAAGCCACCTAGGACAATGGGGATGTTGGTGTGGTCTCTATTTGGTTTGAGGGTGGTAAAAGTCGCCCCTTGTTTCCTAAGATGGATGGCAATAAATGAGCTATGTTTATATTACACCCCTCCCTCTCATCTCCCAACCTAAGGTAGCTACCTAGGATGGCTATTTCATCTGCCCGAACATTGTTTGGTTCAATTCTACCAAAAATTATCCACCCCGAGGAACTAGTGTACATCCTAAGGGTCGATTGATGAATTTTATGAGCACGGGCGTTTTGCATTAATGCTATGTTCTCACTCGTCAATGCCAACCATAACTCCCCCGAGGTAAAACTATCGGGTTGCGCAGTCAAACCCGTAGAGGGGAGGCTAAACTTCCTACCGAAACCTTCTAAGGTGAGGCGATGAGATTTATTCATTACTCTATATACAACATGCGTAACCAAACCGTCACTACCTTTCACAACATCAAATGAGCTAAAAAAATTCAAGAGTAATGTCCTCAAATGTATAATGTATCATATTAAACAATTGAGTCATGCCAAGTCTAGAAAACAAATTTCGACATTCATTATCAATTCCTACCCTAGCAAGAAGGGATTAGTCTATGAATCGAGTAGGAATTACCTTCCTATATTGGAGCTCAAGAAACCTTGCTTTTTGATTCGGGAACTTGGGAACGAACCGGATATTTGTGTATGCCGCGATGCTCTCCAAGTCCAATTGTTGTTGTCGTTCTGCTCCATTATTCCTCTTCCTTGTAGAAATTGAAGCCATTGATGTTGTTGAAGGTTTCTCTCTTTAACTTGAAAATGGGGGTTTTTGGTGAGATAGGAAATTTGGGGTAAGAAAAATGGTTGTGGATGTTAGGAATTGAATAAGGAGGATGGGGGATGAAGAAATTTGGAGATTTGATGGAGGAATTGTGGAGAATTATGGAGATTGAAAGAGTTAGGGTTTGGAAATTGGGGATTTTTAGAGAGAGAAAGAGTAGAAGATGATTGAGAGGGAATAAAATAGTGAGAAAAAAGAAGAGAATTTGGGTTTATGTGCGCAGGAATTCCCTCGCGCCCGATCGGGCAGGGCTTGCCCGGTCAAACTGTTGTTCGTGCCTGATCGGGCTGGCTATGCCCGGTCTAATCGGGCAGCTTATTCCTTTTTTTTTTAATGAGAAGCTAACTGGAATTTTTAACCCCCCTTTTGCCCGATCAGGCTGGCTATGCCCGGTCTGATCGGGCAAAGGGGGCTGCCTTGCTTAGCCAAATACACAGCTCCTTCAAACATCCCTGCTCTCGCGCCCGATCGGGCTCACCTTGCTCGGTCTGACCTGGCAAAGAGCAAATCTCCTTGTTTTCCACTTATGACGACATCTCTCGGCATCACGCTCCTCCTATAAATCTATGTTCTCTGAAAAATAGCAAAACCAACACAAAAACGACATAAAAACACCAAGAGAATTAAAACTAATAAGAATAATTATACAAAAAAGCGGGTTGCCTCCCGAAAGCGCTTGTTTATAAGGTATTTAGCTTGACCATCGTTGTTAGCTCAACCTGGGTCACCATACGAGGAAGGAACTCCGCGATGTTGCCCATGAAAATATCTGCCTCCAAGTGACTCCTTCATTTTATAATTGACCTGCCTTGTATCCGAACTTACCTTCATGTGGCCAAACATATCATTGGGTGGGATTTTATCCTCATTTCTCACGAAATGCCTATCAAATACATACTTGTCAACCAAAGGGTTAGTAGCATCGATTCTTAAGCAAGTACCACCATAAAATGTAGAATTATGTTCATTAAAGAGCTTAGACATGACTTGTTTATCCTGAGCCCTAATGGTCACTTGTCCTTTAAGAACATCTATTAGGGCTTGACTTGTGGCGAGGAATGGACGACCAAATATAATCGGGATATGATGATCTTCTTGAATGTCCATAACGACAAAATCAACAGGAAAAACAAGTTCACCAACCTTGACTAATACATCTTCAACCACACCCATAGGGATTCTAGAAGTCTTATCAGCCATTTGAAGGGAAATATGGAAAGGTTTAAGTTTTTTCAAACCTAAGTTCTCATATAATGAATAAGGCATAAAATTAACGCTAGCACCTAAATCGCGCAAAACCTTGTCGAAAATTTTTCGTTTGTCGTACAGGAAATAGTGAAACTACCAGGATCATGCAGCTTAGGTGGTAAGCTATAATATAAGAGAGTATGGCCTTTCTCATTTACTACTTCCTTATCCTCATGTTGATCTTTAATATTCTTCACAAAATTTGCAAATTGAGGCATTTGAATTAAAAGATCGGAAAAAGAAGTAGAGGCGTGTACCTTCTTAAGAACTTCACAGTATTTCCCAAAATGCTTATCGAGTACGACCCTTGACAACCTTTGCAGGAAGGGCATCGGTTCCTCATAGGCTGATGGAGCAACATATTTGGAACTATGTACATCTTCACCCTTTTCATCCTTTCTTGACTCCACACTGTGCACTTTCTCATCTATTTGCCTCGGAGATGGTTCATCTCTTCTCAAGAAAACCGCATTGCATTGTTCTTTTTGGACCTTCGCTTGATCATGAAGAGTTGATAAATGACTCACTTGTTGTGAAAGTTGACTTATTTGGTTTTCTATGAGCTTACTCTGGGCTTGCAACTGTTGGATGGAGTGACTTTGTTGTTGGATGGCACTATTGGTTGTGGTAATGAAGCTCTCCATCATCAACTCAAGACTAGATTTTTGGGGAAGTAGTTACGTTGGTTGTTGGTTCATAGGTGGTCTTTGTTAGAAACCGGGTGGTGAGTTGTAGTTGTTGGGTTGAGGCGAAGATGGTGGTGGATTCTGTTGTGCTTGGGTGTTCTTATAAGAGAAGTTGGGGTGGTGTTTCCAACCTTCATTGTAGGAATTTGAGTAGGGATCAAAAGGCTTTTTGGGGTTCGAAGAGTAGAAAGCATTGGCTTGTTCAATAGACATCTCACTCAAGTTTTGCGGGCAATCAGGTGCGATGTGGCTCTGCACATTACACATTTGACAAACCTCCTGTGGGCTAGTAGAAGTTCCATCTTGGAGCTTATCAAACCTTCTTGTTAGTGCTTGCACAGAACTGGTTAACATAGTCAAAGAATCTAAATCAAGTTTACCTCCTTTTTTCATATTCTAACGACCTCCTAAATGATAGTTATCGTTGGCCGCCATTTTCTCTATGAGCTCCTTGGCCTCCGTTAGCTTCTTACTCATGATCGAACCTTTGGATGAAGCATCGATGTATATGCGGAAGTCATGGGTCAAACCATTGTAGAATTTTTGAATTAACATCCACTCTGGGATGCCATGATGAGAGCATTGTCTCTGCAACCTCTTGAATCTTCTCCAAGCCTCATAGAGAGACTCATCATCTGACTGTCGAAAGGTGGATAATTTTTTTCTCAACCTAGCAGTCTTCTCCTGTCCTAGAAACTTTACTGAGAAGGCTTTCACTAGCTTGTCCCATGTATCGAACGAGCCAGTGCCTTTGTCTCTCAACCACTCCTTTTCCCCATCCCTTAATGAGAAAGGGAAAAGGCGTAGTCTTATAGCATCATCTGTAACACCATTCATTTTCATTGTATCACATTTCTCCAGAAAACTATCAATATGACTTACCGGACAGTCATGTGGTGAGCCTGCAAATGAATCATTGAAGATGAATTGAAGGAATTGTGGTTTTAGCTCAAAGTGCTGAGCCGTCACAGGTGGTCTGACAAAGCTAGAAAGGAGTCCGGTAGTCGTATCAGGAACACCATACTCCAAGAAGGATTTCGTGGCATCTTCCATGTTTCCCCTTCGTCGATTTCTTGTTCTCCTTCTCCTTATTGTTGCCTCAATTTCAGAGTCAAATGGTTCAAGATTGTCTAGCCCTCAGCGTCGTGTGGGCATGCAACAAGAAAACTAGAAAAAAGAATATCAAAAACACAAGAGAAAATAGCCGAAGCAACAAATAAAGCTTAGCAAAAAAACGAATCACAAATAATCAAATGAAACTGTTAGTCCCCGGCAACGGTGCCAAAATTTGATAGCCATGTCGCGTACCTAACAAAAATAACCTAACTATTCCTCCTAACTAGGTAGTCGGGCAAGTAAAGGTCGAATCCCAAGAGACTAAGGTTTACCTAAATTATCTATACTCAAGTAATCACCAAGCAAGAATCAATAATTGGTGGAATAAACTAAAAGATAATGTATGGAAAACTAGAATAAATCAAATGAATATAGTGAATCAATAAGCTAAAACATCCAAGATCAATTATCACCACAATTACGATCGATGCAATTATATATCTACCCCTAACATACAATTCTAATTAACACGGGGAAAAGCAAACCCTAACAAATACCAAGGACCTCTCTCGAGTATCAATGGCTTCCCTAACCCACAATCAAGCCTATTCTCATGGTATCATGCAAATTAGAGACATTAAACACTTTACTTCACTTCCCAATTATCAATTTAACTACTCTCGTGATTAATCTCAAACCCAAAATTGATCTACTCAATTCCGTTAAAACCCAACTCTCGTTGTGATTGAAACTATGGAATAATAACATACTAATTATCTCTAATCTAGTATTGCCATAATCACAATCAATTTAGCATAAATAATCGCATTCGTCATTAGAGAATTCAAAGAATCAAATCATACATCAATCACAATTGGGCTACCCAAGATCTTGGAATAAGAAAACTACTCACACATATTGAAAGAAGCAATAACAATAATAATCGAGGAAAACATAATTGAGAACAAAAATAATTGAAAGAGAAAGGAATAGAGATGAATACCGATGATGCTTCAATTGAAATTACTCAAATTGTTAATCAACAATACCTAAATCTAACCTAGGAATTAAATTGCTAAAAAGTAAAAATAATCTATCCGGGAGATAATAAAATTTAGGGAGATAATAAATCTGTTTCCTAACGATAAATACAATAGGTATTTATACCCTTAATGAAGTAAAAATAAGAAAATAATAAAACGGCAAATAGCATAACTATACCCGGTCTGACCGGGCTTGACTTGCCCGATCGGGCATATGGTATCAAATACAGCGCTGCTTCTTCCTTGCTATTTTCCTCGGTGCCCAATCCAACCGGGCATATGGCGCCCGATCGGGTGCAAGGCACACTTCTTCGCTGGCTGCCTTGCTTCTGATTTCGTACCTTTGAACATCTCATCCACCACGCGCCCGGTCCAACCGGGCATGGGCTGCCTGATCAGGCGCATGGGATAAAACCATAAATCAACTTCTTTTCTTCAATATTAGCATCAACCATGAAGTCCTTCTGTGCCCGGTCTGACCAGGCTTGCAATGCCCGACCGGGCACAGTATAAAAACTGCTCCTTGCTTGCAAATTCTTCTAAGACTTGGTTCTTGTTTAGCTCGACTTTACATCCTTGTCCACTAACATCTCCAAAACGTGTCCGAATAATCCGAGAAACCCCAAGTTCCTATAAAACTTATTAAAATACACCGAACACACTAGAGAAGAGAATGTTAGCGAAAAATGGCTCTAAAGAGCCTAAAACCATACAAGAATGTAATGAAAAGTCGGGATAAATCTATGTATAAAACGTGTATATCATTTTCTGAACAAACTAATTAGGCCAACGGCCGGATGATAAACTTAAGGCCCATGGCCGGATGATCCTTATAAAAACTAATACGTCTGTCCCAAACAAGAGCAGGCATCCGGCGACATCCATTTGGGTGAATTCGTCGCAGAGAGCATCTCCCAATTGGGTGGCACATTGCTCTATAAATCTAAAACAAACGGCCCTACCGAAAGTCTCCAAGACAGCCTCATAGTCGTTTGACATGAGAAGAAGATAAACGTACCGCTTACTATGAACACGCGGTAGACAGTTAAAATCTAAGCAAAACTTGGCAAATAAAGAGGTACCATGCGGCCAAAGTTGTCTATTTCTTCTATTCACTCAAATCAAAGTGACAGAGATTGATTAACCCCTAGGGTTAACTCATAGTCACTCGACAAAACTTGGAATGGAACCTAAACGGTGCGAAATGAACGCCAGTTTTTTGGAAAACAGACGACATTCGGCGACTATTCCTGCTAATTTTTAAAATTTTGGAGCTACCGCCTGTAATATAACATGCGCCTTCTATTTTGGTTAAACATCTGGTTTGACGCTTATTTCTGTACAAGTGTCAAACAAACTGACATTTTACAATCAATAAAATAAATTAAGTATAAAACATAGTGATTCATTGTTCGTCAAAATGAAATTTTGAGTCCGAGAGCCGGATCATGCTGAGCGTATGACCGTCTGTCCAATGACCGCCTGTATGCATGGTTTAGGGCAATCACCATAGTGATTGATTGACTTAGAAATCAGCCATACCCTTTAAAGTATCAAAGAATTCCAAGTGAATCCATCAGCTTGAGAAAACGTAGCGTACAACCGCTAGGGGCAAAACCAGTCGATAAAATGGCAAGCTATACTTAGCAAAATTCTTGAAAGGCAAAAATTCAAAGAAAATTGCAAACTGGGAAAGCCGACAAAACTGCCGGATGATTCATATAAACAGCCAGCCAGAAGATCGATTAGAATGTTATGACTGTCAAATAAACTCCGACCCCTTGGTCAGGTAATGATACAAAGCAAGTGGCACGCAGGCCAAAGAAAAACTTAAGCTTCTCGAGGAGGCTTCTCAGATTAAGGAGCCGTATCCTTCTGATCCCCAGTCGGCTCCTCCACTTTTCCGCCATCCGCTTCCTCCTCCTCATGGTCCGACTCCCCAAAGGTGGAATTAGACGAATCCCCACCCGCCTCTTCTTCATCATGGCCTTGCCCCATAATCTTGTAATTGTACTCTAGGGTACATGTGGCAAATTGATTCTTCCAGCTGTCACAGCTGGACTCCGGGAAGAGTTCCGACCAGGTCATCTCCATGATGAAGTTGGTGTCCTCCATCATGTCCTTGACCAACACCTGTTTTTCCTCATCGGCCCTTGAAGTGTATTTTTTGGCAAGCTAGGTCTCCTGGTTGGCCAGCTGCTGCTTCAGTTTGTATGCCCGAGTGCGGAGGCCGGCTGCTTCATTGTCTGCCTCCTTTGGAGGCGTGAGCTCAGCCTTAAGGTCATTTACACATGTCCCATGGCGTAACTCTCAGCAAGAAACAGTGTCCACAAACACCTTTTAAGCAAGAGAGAATGAATCATATCCCATATGCTTCACTAATTGATCATTTATGCCACAATATGTACCAGGCCAGATGTATCGTATGCCCTGAGTGATACAAGCCGATACCAATGAAACCCAGGAGAGGCGCATTGGACTGCAGCCAAGAATATCCTGAAGTACCTAAAAAGGAACAAGGATAAATTCCTGGTCTATGATGGCCACAAAGAATTGGTTGTTGAAGGTTACACCAACGCTAGCTTTCAGACTGACAGAGACGACTTAAGTCACATTCAGGGTACATATTCTGTCTAAATGGAGGAGCATTTAGCTGGAAGAGTGCCAAGCAGAGCACAACTGCATATTCTACAACTAAAGCCGAATAATTGGCTGCTTCAAAAGCTGCTAAGGAGGTTGTTAGGATTCGCAAGTTCATCAGCAAACTTGGTGTTGTACCCTCCATCAAGGGTCCGATAGATCTCTACTGTGACAATAATGGAGCTATCGCTCAGGCTAGAGAGCCAAGAGAGCACCAGA